CTGGTTAGGGTAAGAGTCAGGGTTAGCATAAAGAAAGGAATGGAATTCAATGCAAAGTCCCCACAAAGTACAATTACAAGAACGTGTGTGCATGGGTGTGTTTGGCTGCACTGGTCACATTAATGTTTAATATTGTTAAACCATTGCATTTTCAAGAACTGTTGTCATTTTTGTCAAGTAAGGCCTTTCAAAAGTGCATTATGTGTTTTCATTCTGCACTATCAATCATGGAGGAGATGCGGGGGTGTGGGGGGTATAGAATGGGTTATTTGAATGCATTTGTAAAAATCATTTAATCACAGGCAGAAGGCCGTTCCTCACACGATGTCCCTGTCTCCTGTCTTCTGTCTCCAGGCACCAGCGTAGCCCCTCTGACTGTCCCCTACCACATCTCATTAAAGTGATAGATGTTGCGCATGAATAATGTAAACTGTTATTGAGCTCGTAGTGAAATTTGTGTAACTCAAGTCCACCGTCGGTGCGCGTGATGCTGTTCAGGGTGTCGTTTGCATCAGCGTCCCGCTCAGTCGTCTCCCCCCCCCCCACACACACACACACAGAGAGAGAGAGACACAGAGCCGTCGGATGTCTCTGTACATTCCCATCTCAGAGTGTTTGCCAACCCTCAGCGCTCAATTACATATCCCATCAGAAATCCTGTCAAATGCAATTCTGCGTTTTACATCTGTGCGGCACTGTGGATGCTGTGGCATCTTTAAATGTGAAGTGCATGTGGGGTGGGGGTGGGGAGGGTTGCGTGCAGGGTGTTATTGTTGAAGGAGAAAGAAATGTACCCATTTCTCAGCACTGTCACGTCTCGCACAAAAAAAAAAAGAAAAGAAAAGAGAAACATGTTTGCCTCAGATCCTCAGCTTGTTGGATTACCGTGACACCAAAACAACTTCTTACCCAATAAACAGCAAACACAGCAAGACAGATGTGCAGCTGCTCGTGTGAACACTACTGGTTTGAAGAGGAGTAAAATAAAAAGAAATGATAAAAAGCAGAAGATAAGATGTCTCACTTCTGCAGCCCATGAGCCTGCTTCGTCCTTGTGAAGTCTGTATGTGTAGACGAAGCCTTTGCACCTGAAAACACAAACGCACCTTTCAGTTGACTCCCACTGTCACCATCACAGTGGAACCAAAAATGATCTTTAACAACAAACCACACATTCATTAAACTTTTTACATAAGTTTACATTTACGTATTTATAAAGCGCCAAGTCACAACGGAAGTCATCTAAGGACAATGAACCATATACAAAAATAATAATTTAACAACATTTATCTGAGGAGCAGACTGCTTTGAGTTTAACTCCATCTCAGACTCTCATCTTGAGCAAGCATGAAGGCGACAGTGGAAAAGAAAAACTCCCTCATGCTGGGATTGAGAGGAACGGGAAGGAGGAACAGATACACAATGGCAGGTCCAGAATCACATGTTAAGATAGAAATAATATCAAATGAAAACTATTCAATTTTAACAATTCATTTAAGGAAATGAGGTCAATTTGTCCTCCAGTAGTCTAAGCCTATAGCTGAATAACAAGCCAACCCTAACTGTAGGATTTATCAAAAAGGAAAGTCTTGAATCCAGTCTTAAAACTGGACAATGTGTCAGCCTCATGGACAGAAACTGGATGTTGGTTCCACAAGAGAGGAGCCTGAGAACTGAAAGATCTTCCTCCCATTCTGCTTTTGGAAACTCTAGGAACCACGAGTAAACCTGCAGTCTGAGAGTGAAGTGCTCTGTTAGGAAAATATGGAACAATAAGATCTGTAATATAAGATGCAGCTAGGTTGTTGAGAGCTTTGTAGGTTAGAAGTAAGATTTTGAATTCAATTCTGGATTTAACAGGGAGCCAATGGAGAGAAGATAAAACTGGAGAGATATGATTTCTCCCACTAACTCCATTTAAGACTCTGGCAGCAGCATTTTGGATTAACTCAAGACTTTTTAAATATCCTGTTGCATGCTCAATAATCCAGGTAGAAAAATCTAACAAAGTTAAGTCATGCCCTCTGGACGGATGCAAAGAGTAAAACATAAAAATGTAATTGAAAACTACAAAAAAGGTTGAATCATGTCATCTGGACTTCGTTTTTTTGTTAAAAAGAAACGTTTCGCCCCTCATCCAAGAGGCTTCGTCAGTCTGAGGCCTAGCCATCTGGTATTACCCAGAAGCCACCGTG